CACACACACACACACACACACACACACACACACACACACACACACACACACACACACCAGTGCAAGATTTGCCTTTCTAGGAAAGAGAGAGAACAGCCAGTATCTATAGAGATTCTGTTGCAAGCCAATATGCTTGATATGCCTTCATTGAATTCTCTCACAAAGACCCTTGCAAGACAAATTCAAAAAGTAATGGGCAGCAGGATTAAGTAACTATTCCAAGGCCGCTCTGATAGCAAATGTCAGACTGCCCACTACTTCCCTTCCTTTCTGTTTGGGCCATAGAGTGTGAGCCACTGGCTTACCCTTAGCGCCAGTCTCCCCTTTTATTCCAGCCCCAACTTTGTCTGATCTCTCTGGAAGAAACTTCCTAAAGCAGTGTTGGGACCCGAGTAGTCAGAACAATGAAGACCCACATAAATAGGAAGCCAGGTAGAAAGGCAGGGAGGTTGATTATGGCCTCACCAGCCTCTTAGCAAACGCTCTGTCCTCCCAGAAGCCAGGCCTTTGAGTGGGGTTCTTTACAAAAGAAAGTCTTATCAGGAAGCCAGAGGCCACAGAGAATACTGTCGTCCTGTAGAAACTTGGCGTGCCAAGTGTAAAACTGAAAAATTTTAGAGAGGCCACATTGAAAAGGGAAAGAGAAAACCCATTTAAATTAGTTCTGATATCTTATGATCTGCCTGCCTCTGCCTCTGCCTCTGCCTCTGCCTCTGCCTCTGCCTCTGCCTCTAAGGGTAGGAATTAAAGACCTGCACCAGGGTCCAGCCTGCGCCATAACATCGTTAGTGATCTATTTTATATTGTTTTCATAGCAAGTCTTTGGGAGCCAGTGTATATTTATCTCAATTCTGAGTTACCGTGGGTAGTTGTCATATTGAAGAGTTAGGTTGAGGCAGGAGGATGTCATATTCTAGGCAAGAATGGGCTATATAGCCAGGCTATCTCAAATTTTTTTAAAAAAAAAAAAAAAAGGGCGGGGAGGGTGAGAGAAAAGAAAGACCAAGACAAAGAGGTGATGTTGGGAATGAATTTGCTATTAAATTCCTCTAGGAGCACCTCTATTTCCAGCCTGTGGGGAAAGGACACCAGTTCTCCAGTAAAGGAGAACTGGCTGAAGGTGTCCTGGCTGAAGGAAATATATTGGGATGAGCATTTTCCTTGCACACTTCAGCTATCTTCAAAAGTAGAGTGGGGTGGATTTAGCAACCCAACATTTCTCATCAGCAAGGACAGAAGAGTGGAACTGGAGTCAAAAGGCCTGGGTTCCCTTCTGCCTCCAACATCTGTTAAACTCAGGGACCTGAGAAGCATTACTTAAACTCTGAGCCTGGGTCCTTCTCCCCACCACCCCCACAACCCCCATCATTTTGTAGCCCAAATGATAGAGCTTTGCAAATCCCAGCATGGGATCATTACCAACGGGCTGGGCAGAATCTCTCACATTCCCTCTGAACTCAGCGGGTGTGTCTTCTCATTTTGCATCTGTTCTTGTTTGCTTGTTATGTTTCTTACAGGTACTTCGAGAAGGACAAGGCAGTTTGGTACTTTTCCGGGCAACTATGTAAAACCTTTATATCTATAAGAAGACTGAAAAGCACAGAGATTATTTTTATCAGAGGATGAAGCAGCATTCATGACCTGGCTTCTTTATTTAAATATTGAGTCAGAAGGAAAATTAATGCAGTTGGTAAAGGAAGAATTCAAAGAGAAGAACAGGGACTTGTGTTTAAAACCCACTGCGTATCAGGGCTTAACTGTGTGCTGAGGAAATCGGTATTTACAAAGCTGCTTCTGGGAGCTGCTCCAGACCCCACCACTTGGATAATATGATCTGGAGTAGTGTCTATAAGCAGCGTTAGCCAAAACATGTGCCCAGTTGTTACCCACTCCCATTTTAAAGGGGTCCCTTGGGGCCAGATAGGTCAGTCCCCACCCATGTTCCAAACAGGCTCAAAGCCTAAGAATCATTGACAACCCCTGCCTCTATCCCTGGCTGTTCCAGAGCCAGCAGACCCCAAGTGCTTCTAGAGGCTGGTCAGCGTTCCTGAGGTTTTCCTTCAGCACCATGATTTGATGAGGTCCAGGAGAAGAGAAATGGAGGCAGACCAGGCACCCTGGCATTCAGCATGCTGGGTGACATTGCCCTTTACTGCCCTGATACTCAGACAGAAGAGCGTGCCATGTTTGTCCTGAGCTTTGGAGCAGGTGGCCAGGCAGATGGGTTACATTCATGTTTCCACATAATTAAGCCAGTCACCTTGGAGGTCACTTGGAGTGTTCTCCTTCCCTGGTCACCATCACTGGCTGGGCAGGGTTAGCTATGCCTTTTTTCTCTGGCTTAGTATGGCCTTGACACACCTAAGCCCATAGAACAAGACTGGTCTCTTATTAGTTCTCTTAGCGTGTGTAGATGTGAGCTGGGGCACCAGAGTAAGAGACTCCCAGACCTAGGAAGGGACACTGTGCCTCCACTGTTGCCTCTCCACTGTTGCCTGTGGAGCTCAAAGACCACCCAGAACTGTTGTCCCCCTAGCCCTTGCCCCCTCCTCCCCACCACCCCAGGCCAGTGAGGCACATGGTGAGGCCTCCATTCAGAGCTGCCTTGGGTATGAAGCAGCAATTCTCCTCCTGGTGGCAACCAGGAGTCTGTCCTCTGTGAGCCCGGGTTGTAAGGAGGGGACTGCTTTGACACCGGGGTGTTTAGTGTGGTTTACTGTGATTCTCTGCTAGATCCCTAACTGACTCAAAGATAGGTGTGGCCTGTTCCCAGAGTTGAGCCTGCCAGGGGCTCAGCCGCAGGGCACGGAAGATGTAGGGAAAGAAGCCCAATCTAGAGAGACTGTGATATGTGCAGAGGGTGTGAGAAGAAGGGGTGAATTTCTGCTGAGGGGGGCCCCGTAGAAAGCACTGTCAGGTTTCCATCTCCCTCAGCTCACTTCTGAGCATCGAGGATGCTGGGAGAAACTTTGTCTGAGGGTAGTTTATGTCTGGAAATTCTTGGGATTTTTTTTTTCCAGAGTCTGATACTCTTATTCTACCCACAAATACATGTACAAGGTCACAAATGCCAGGAGTTGTTGGTGATAGGGGTATGTACTGGAACCCTGGCTCTCTGCAAGCAGTTCAAAATCACCCTAACCACTGTCCCCAAGTCGGGAGTCTTTACAAGCCCGTAACTTTTGTCTTCAGTGATTCCTCCACTGCTATCCTAGATAGCCTAGGATCCCACAGGCTTCCCCCACCCACCCGTCAGCCACAGTTCTCCAAGGATGCTCTCAGAAAGGAAACTGCCAACTATTGATTCACGCTGAAATATGAATGACGGGTAGGAGGAATGTGTTACCTCTTCCTGGAGACATTTACAATTGGGGGAGAGCAGAGCCTTTAATCCCAAGGGAAAATGGAGTGGAACCAAAGGCGTAAAAGCTTCCCAGGCAGAAAAGACCTGGTGACTCTGACCTGTTGCTTTGGAAGCTCTGCACCAGCCAGCAGCACTGCCCTGCTTCTTCTTCTAATTTTTTTTTACCTTTGCCCCTCTCAAAGAGCATATAGAAAAAAAAAAAAAAAAAGGAATTCGTATGTGCATTTTTTAACCCATTTGGAATGCAGTTCTTGCTCTCTCCTAGATGCCAATCATGAATAGTATGAAATAGTATCTAAATTTCCTGAGGGGTGCTTTTTGATTAAGTAGGTCATTTCAAACACCCCTTTAAATGCAGCTAGAAAATAAAACCATTTTGTAAAAGCCACATTTGCATCCAGTGCCAGCCTAGCACAGAGTATCTCCCGAAATCCAGGTATGCCCACCTTTAATAAAATCTCTCCAACTTCTGATGTATGAGGAAAAACAAAACAAAACAAAAAAAAAGGGAAGGTTTCCAATTACTCTTTTGTCTTCAGACGTTTAGTAATATAAAGTACCTATTTTTATGCTGAAATGTTTATACAGGTTTATTAACAGCAAGCGCAACTAACTGGCGGCATGCCTCACATCACGTTTTGATATATTAGCCATGCTTCCAGATAAAGGCAAGCCCGAAACTACTCACCTTTTGCAGTCTCTCTGGGATCAGTAAAAGAAAAAAAACATCATATGTTTGAGAAGTGGGACTGTAAATATGTAATGTATATTTAACTTTGTGGAGCCCATGTACCTACCTTGTATAGAAAAATAATTTTTAAAACTTGAGTGGAAAGGAAGTAAAATAAGAAAGTCATGAAGGTTTTTTTTTTCCACTTTTATTTAAATGAAGGAATTTCAAATAATTCACCTGCGGACTTTTAGCACAAAAATAGTCCTTGGAAATTGTTAACTGGGGAAGAGAAGACAACTATAATATCATTTACAGTTTTCTTTCTGCAGTCCTTCTTATCTGCATTAGTATTAAGTCATATTGCTGAAATAGGTTACTACCAGAAAAGGAGTATAACCAGAAGAAAAAAAGACCTGATATATGTAACCTATTAAATTTAAAGTACTGTCTTTAAATTCCACATCAAACGCATGTACTATGCAGACACAGGTTTTTTGGTTCATTTATTTTTCTTTATTGCAGTGGATTGATTTGATAGATATGTTGAATTACTACCTTGCTGTACATATTATTTAATAAACTTTATTCAGAATTGCGTGGCACCTTTGTGTTCTTGCTCTTCATTGGCTTTTTCTTCCTGCAAGGCCCCACTCCTGCTCATGTCCTGCTGTCCACTCTGAATCACTGGCTGTCTGGTTTCCTCCCCTCACCCAGTTGTGTTCTTTGGTAAATTGATTAAAGTATATTATTTCTTTTGATAACAAACACAATCATTCTATGTCTTTAAGAGCCAAAATGAGACATTATGAAACATATATATTTATGTCTCAAAACATGGGGAAAGTGTTTAGTATTTGAATATCAAGTGTGGCTGTGAGTTTTCTGCTGTGATAAGTTGCTTGTTTTTTCTCCCCACATCAAGTGTATCAGAACACTCAGCTCCCATTCCAGTCCCTGCTCTCCCTCTCCTATCACCCTTGCAGTCACCCCATGGCTGTTGAGCTGCCTCCTCATTCAGGGGAGGTCCACTATGTATATACAGGAAGTCCTCAAAGAGAAAAACCACAAACCTTCACTCTCCTGCCCCGACATTCTCTATTCTTCTGAGAGGTAGTTTGCTCTAGCTCAGACAGGCTGGGAGACGGTTGCCTTCTAGGGTCTGCCAGTCTCCATCCTGGGCACTTCACAGGCACTGCTAACCTCCCTCTTGTGCCTCCATCCTGTCCAAATCATTCACCCCATTTTCAAACTACATCTAGAACTCAACCACCTCTGCTTTCTAAACCAAGCCATTTTCTCTTGTCTAGACCATTGCAGTAACTGTGGCTGGCTTGCTGGTTTCTTCTTTGCCTCCTCTCCCTCAGCCATGGCAGGGCAACCAAAGTAATCGTTGTGAAATTGGCCATATACTCTCTTTGTTATGGACCAAATCCACAATCTCTGCCCTTACTCTGCTCCACGACCTGTTATCTCATCTGCTGATTTCTGGTGCCTTGTTCTCACACTAGTATAGGATCCCAACCTTAACCAGTACACTTCAGCCTTAGAGCTTCATGCTCACTAGTCCTTGTGCTTGGAAGACCCTTTTCCCAAAAGCTGTTGGCTTTCTTCCTCTCTTCCTTTGGGCCTTCATTTTGTTCTACTTGGGGCTTTCTCTGGTCACCTTATATCGGATGGGAATTATTGTCCCCAACCTCAAGCATTCTGTCTTCTTTTTATCAATGAATGCAGGTTTGCTGCTCTGTCCATACTAAACATATATGGCTCATATAGTCTTAGCCTTTTCCTTTAATAGAGTTTGCATATATATATATATATATATATATATATATATATATATATACATATATATAAATGTATATTCAGTTCTCTATTGGTGATGTGAGTGTGGGAGATTGTTGCCAACTCTTTTTCCACAGTGAAAGAACGATGCTGTTTTGAGAAGAGCTGTTGATTCTAAAGGAAAAGAACACTTCAAGCCTTTGGAGAATGTCAAGTTGCTTTCCTTACGTACCAGCTTATACTCCTGCCAAGTCCAAGAGAGTGTGTTTCCCACCTTCCAATTAAAACCACTGCCAGCCTCCGTGAAGTCCTTGTTGCTTGGCTTCATCCAGCCGATTCTTACACTTTCTGGACCATCACTGTGTTTTGCAGCCCTTTGTTGCTTTCTCTCATCTCATGCTGCTCTGGGGACTGACTCTTCACAGTGCAATTATGGTCCAGAGAGTTACTCATTCCTTTGAAGGAATGAGTGAGAAACCCAACACTATGGGCTTATGTGGAGACATACCAAACAGAATTGGAAGTAGCCTCAGGCAAGAGCAAATCCAGGAAACTCAATCTTATTCTTGGCTCTGTGGTCTTGTTTGACTACATTTTCGACTACTGAGTACAGCTGTGGGGTGGAGGCAGCTTCAGCCTCCTTTTTAGTTTTCTGACTCTAGATGCGGAGGAGTGTCTGTCTGGCTTTCCCTGAAAACAATTTCAGACTCTGTTAGATTCCTCCTGATTTTATTCACTCTATAGCAGAGGATAACCTCAAATTTCTAGTCCTTCTAACTTAAGAGTACTGGGAGTGTTTAGTCATTTGCTACCATGCCTTATTTATGGTAAGCTGGGGCTGGGACCCTGAGGACTTTATGTATGCTAAAGCAAAGCCTCTACCAACTAAAGAGACATGACAGGCCAGATTGGGGTACTGTGTTAAGAAGGAAGAAGGGTATCTTTAATCTCAACACTTGGGAGGCAGAGTCAGGCAGGTTGTTGTGAGTTGTCAGCTTGGTCTACATAGGTCTACTTCTAGGACATGAGCTCTACATATCTCAAAACAAGAACCACCAAAAATTGGGGGTGGGGGAAACTGGAAGTCAATGGGCCCTTGGGTATGGGGAGCAGGGGAAGTCCCTGATGAATGCAACCTGAGACTTCATATTCACAGAGAGCCCATGCTAAGATTAACTAACCAGACTTCAGATTTGTGCTGTGTGTAACAGATTTGGTGAGTTTCCAGGCTACTGCTGGTGTTTTCATCACCTAATCCTGGCTTTTCTGTATGTGCGCCTCTGTCTGTTCTTCATTCCCAGTCACCCCACTTAGGTCAGTCCCTAAGTTACGGAGTTTATGACACCTAGCCTTGAAGAATTACTTAGCAATCTTTAGAAAATGAAAAGCCACTGTCTTGTCCCAGTGAGAGTTGGGACAGAGTTGCTGAGAGGAAACAGTATCCTGAAGCTCTTTGATCTGCCCTTGGGAAGAAATTGGTGAAGGATGACATCCATCCAGTGGTGAAGCCAGTGTGACCATGAAGGCCCAGTACAAATACATCACATGCTAAAAATAAAAGGACTCTCTGGAAGGGAGCAGAAATGTCTGGATGAACTAGAAGTAGGTTTATTTGCCAAGTCTTAGCACGTAGAAGACAATGACTTTCAAAAACAAACAAAAGACAGTAACCTCTTGATTCAGGTAGTTTGTAAAATGAATTAGTGAGAAAATGGTTTGGATTGGAAAAAGACATCCCATACTGTTAGTGCTTTTACCTATACACACATGCCTGTGATAAAGTTTAATATATAAGTTAGGCACAGTATATGATCAATAGTGGCTCATACAAACAGAATAATTACAGGTTGAGGCAGGAAAATTGTTATTTTAAAGCCAACTTTGGCTACATAGCAATACCTTTCTCAAAAATAAAGTTATATGAGCATGGTCTCAGAATGTCTTCTATTCTGCTTCCTTTCCTAACCAGACACAGCTAAAACAGTAGAAAGGGAAACTTCAGGTAACAGAATGGCCGCTATCTTAAAAATTTTAAAAGAGAAATTGATCAAGGCAAAAGGGGTAATAAGCAGATGTGAATGGCCACACAGTACTTGGTGAGTCTGTCCTCTTGCACATCTGCTTTTCTGAGACCATTGCTCTGATATCACCAGGCCCAAAGGGGTGAGTAGGTTCAGGTAGTCTAGGCCCTTCTGACTTGTCTCTAAAGTAAGAGGAGCTGACAGGTAGATCTACGGAATGGAGGTAGATCTAAGAGGTAGATCAGCTCCAAATAGCATAAATTGTGTAACTTGATGACCTTGAAGCATGATCTATGATCCCCTTAGGCCCTTATTTTAGCCCCATTTCCTGTTGCTGTGATAAAACATACTGACAAAAGCAACTTGCAGGACAGTCAAGGATGCAGGAATTGAAGTTACTGGTCATATCACATCACCATTGAGAGTAGGGAGCAGTGAATTAATGTATACATGTCAGTGCTCTGTAGAGAGAATATTTTCTGCATTGTATGGATGCATTGCCTGTCAATTAAAATACTATGACCTATAGGAAAGGGTAGACTAGAAGGTGGGACATTTGGCAGTCAGAAACAATTCTGGGATAGAGCCAGACACAGGAGAGTCACCTGGGAAGATGTGAGGAAGACAGATGAATGGTACCTGAACAGAGGTAACCAGCCATGTAGCAGAATATAAATTAGTATAAATGTGGGGTTTTTTTGTTTTTATTTTTTAAAGTTATGAGCTAATCAAAGAAGAGCCTAGCTATATGGCCTAGGTATTGTCTCATGAGTCATTATTCTGGGAGCTTGGTGCCAGGAGAAAAAAACTGCCACCCTACTACAGTGCTCAGCTCCTTCCTCCAGTCTTAAAACACTTCAGAAATCACTGTGTAGGGAATGGTGCCATCCACAGTGAGCAGGTTTTTCACCTCATTTAACATCATCAAAATCCTCCATAGATTTGCCCAAAAAACATTGTGGTCTCCATAATCCCCTATTGAGACTCCTTTTCCTAGTGATTCTAGATTATGTCAACTAGACAAACTAATGATCATAATCCCGAAGCCCTCTTTTAGGGGATACATAATGTCAAATGGCTTACACAATAATATGTAAATTCTGAGGTAAGGTTATAAAAACTTGTGATTCTGTCTTTTGAATCCCTCTCCTGAGGAGAAGCAGATGATTCAGAACCTCAGAATTCCAGGTATCTTGCTGTTGTAGTCAAGTGTGACTACAGCACCTACACACACACACACACACACACACACACACACACAAAACAAAAATGGTACTGAAAAAATCAATCTACTGGGAATCAGATAAAACACTGAGTTCAAATGATGAGTGTCCCTGAGCTTCACTTCTTAAGAGAACTCAGAAATGCCACTAAGCTCTCTGGGCCTGGTTCCCTCATCTAGCTGGCAAAGATAGCTGGACCCAAGTGTGATTGTTAGGAAATAGAAAAAAAGAGTCTTTCTGGAAGTCAACTTGTAAGGTCCACAACAACCATGGAGTCTTTTGAGTGCCTACAGCACATTTCATGCACCACCTACCTCTCATTGCCAGCAGGTATCCTCACCTCTGTCAGATTCAGAGAATTTCAGCCCTATGGTATAGGATATGCAAAAACAAGTAGATTCTGTTTGGTTCTAGAGTTAGTGTCCTTTCCTTTAAGCACATTCTACTGCCTCCATGGGACAGCTAAGACAAAGAGTATAGACCAGCACACATCCGTATCATGTACTGTTTACCCAGAGATGACAGCGTCTCCAATACATCATGAAACAGTCATAATAGTATTTTCTGAGTGCCTAC